GTGCTGTGATTGGTTAGCTGGGCCAGTGTGTGCTGTGATTGGTTTGTTGGGCCGGTGTGTGCTGTGATTGGTTAGCTGGGCCGGTGTGTGCTGTGATTGGTTAGCTGGGCCGGTGTGTGCTGTGATTGGTTAGCTGGGCCGGTGTGTGCTGTGATTGGTTAGCTGGGCCGGTGTGTGCTGTGATTGGTTAGCTGGGCCGGTGTGTGCTGTGATTGGTTAGCTGGGCCGGTGTGTGCTGTGATTGGTTAGCTGGGCCGGTGTGTGTTGTGATTGGTTAGCTGGGCCAGTGTGTGTTGTGATTGGCTGCACTTGGCGCCTGGTCGGGAAATGTCATGCCCCTTACCATAGCCGCCTGCGAGCTTCAGTGTAAATATTGCGTCAAAATCAAATCAATTTGAGCGCGATTTAAACCCGGATGATTGTAACCACTCTAAGTTTGTCTGCCTTGGGAAAGCTAGAGTGTCTCCGACATAGTGATAACACTCATTGCCTTCTCTAGTGCAACTCAACCAGGTCTCGTCCCATTCGGAGAGAACGTAGTTAGAATGTCCCTAAAATTCAAGATATGGGGCAAAAATGCCTGTTTAAGTTTTTGTCTCATATTTACGTCATATAGTTAAAGGGGTCCTATTATGCTCTTTTACAAAGTCTTGATTTTGTTTTGGGGGTGTACTAGAACAGGCTCTCATACTAGGTTGTTTGAAAAACACATTATTTTTCACATATTTTACATTATTACAACACCTCTCTCCCCAGTCTGGCATAACGAGTCGTTCGTTGTAGTTTTTGAAAAATTATTTCTGTTAAATAAAATATCTCCTTTTGAAGTGGACTTTGAGCTTTGTAACTCTGCAGATCTTTTTTATGCTCAAACAGCAACATTACAGACTAACTAAAGTTGAAAAAGTGAAAAAGCATAATAGGACCCCTTTAAGCAATATCACACAAGCAATAAGTGCAATATCACATGAGTGCAAATACTGATCTTATACAACAGTTCAGTAAGAAATTAATATTGTGTAATTTTAGACACAATGTTGTCTGTTTTGCTCAATTTTGCCAACGAAAATATAGACAAAGCAGAACTGTTCGTCTCCGGGCAACACACAGCGGCATTTCATTTCTTAATCCACGTTTTGAACGAATTGGGTGAACCATTTGGCGTGTTGAACCATTGGCCATAAGCAGCTTTCACACAGGACGCGGAAAGCGCAGCGCTGTGCTATGAAACCCATTCATTTCAATAGCTTGCGCTGCGCAAGGACGGTTTGTTGCTGCGTCGACCAAAGCGCACACGCAGCAGAGCGCACATGGGTGAGCTTGCGCGCGCCGCGGTCAAAGTTAAAAATTGTTCAACTTTGCTGCTGCGCTCTGTGACGATTATCCACGCGGCCAATAGAAACGGGGCATCCAAATAGAACTCCCGGTAAAAGTTTTGAAAACTCCGCCTATTTCGCTCTGGCCAGCGTAGCGCAAATCGCTTTGTATCTTAAGGGCTGTGCTGAACCCAGCGGCTAGCACAGCGCATGCCGCGTCCTGTGTGAAAGGGCCAATAGGCGCGTTGGATTTGAAGCGGCGCTACACAGAGCGATTGGTGTATGACATCAAAGTACCGCGAGAGCTATAGAGAGCAGACGGCTCCTTATGCTTTTGAATCGCTCTCGCGGTACTTTGATGTCATACACTAATCGCTCTAAGGAGCCGTCTGCTCTCTATAGCTCTTGCGGTACTTTGATGTCACACCGATTGATCTGATGGTGATGATCCGCTTCAAGTCGAACAAGCCTAATGATTCAATGGACCATACATAAAGAGAACCATTTAGGCCCTGTCCCAAATGGAACACTGCATGTGCACTTGTGGTCTTACGGTTCACATGTCGTGCCTAAAAATGCGTGGAAAATGCTAGGAGCGCCGCTTTCTGCTTTTTTCCAAAGCATTCGGGCGCTGCATAGAGGACCTACAATAATGTACAGTATTTGAAAAATAATGTGTTTTTTGAACATTAAAGCATGTCAACATATTCTGTTACACCAAATACACAAAATAATGATCTTTAAAATAGCATCATATGACCCCTTTAATCATTAAGACATTTACCACTACCTACTGGCAGTTTTAGTTTATTATTTGGAGTATCATTTCATTAAAAAAATTATTTCATATTTCCATAGTAATAATAATACAATTAATAAAATGAATTATTAAAGGTATAGTTCACCTACCCAAAAATGACAATTGTGTCATCATTTACTCACCCTCATGGTCCAAAAGAGTATAAATGTTATTTAACAAAATATTTCTTGCTGAAGCTACTTTTGTAATGTCTGTTTGATGCTTTACACAACAATGACTTTAATTGATCTTTTGGGAGTTTATCAGCCAAATTTGATGTGCGATTAATTTGCGATTAATTAATTGCCTCATCATGTAATTAATTAGATTAAAAAAATTTATTTCTTACCAGCCCTACTAAAAAGTTATTCAGAATAATAATAAATGCTATAATAGTATAAAAATAATACTAAAATAACCAAACTGCCAAAATGTGCAGGAAATGGATAGATCTGGAATTTTCTTTTAGTGTCATCCTGTATGCAGGAGTTTAAAAAGTACAAAGTTTTTAATATGCCATGTTTCAAAAAGTACAATTACTTTTAGATTTTGAGTCTTGAAAATGTATTTTGGTGTAGTTTTTGTTTAGTTGTCTTGTAGTAAACTACCATTTGAAACACTTGTTGCTGCATACTATTTGTCAATTGTGTTTTCTTGCAATTATAATAACAATAATAATAATAATATGCTATTTATAACAGTGGTTCTCAACCAAGGGGCTTTGAAACATTAGCAAACTTCCAATGGGGTCACAGAATGACTTATTATTATTTTTATTTATTATTATTTATAAAAAATTATAAATGCTAAAATGTAATGAAGTTGCAACTACAGTTCTTAAAACTTCCGGAATCACAAAATGAATTGGGGTCATCCAATTTAATGAATTTTATTAACCTACTATGTGTTAATAAAACAAGTTTAAATTTAGTTTAAAGTTTAAAGCTGCTTAGCTTTGCATTTATTTATAATTACAACTGAAAAACTGCAATAAATATTTTATCCTGTATAAGGGGCCCTTTGATCATTGTGCTGGACAGTGGAGGGCCTATTGGTTCATAATATATACATACTGTACAGTTGCTAGTATTCCATTCTGGACATAACCAATCCTGCATACTGGTTGTTTTGGTGTTGTAGGGACAGAGAGATGGAGAATACTTTCGAGGTGGTCAAGCATAAGAGCCGGGTGAGAGAAGGTGAAGGCCCGGGCTCCATGCAGCAACTACAGTTAGATAATCAGTATGCCATCCTGGGGGACAAATAAAAGCCATCTCCCCCTCCCCCCCCAAGCCTACCGCCAATGGTAAAGTAAGACTTGCAGGGGGAAAATTAAAAATAAAAAAAAAAAAAAAAAAAAAAAAAACTGCGGAGGTTTTTTTTTTCCTTCGCTACATCAGTATAGCTCCCAAATCATTGGGAGCTATACTGCCAATAGTATTTTTTTTTTTTCTTGCATCGTGATGACAGAAAGCTGGGAGTTTTGGATTTGGGCACTAGAGAGTGGAGACTACCTCAGTTACATATCTGCGGTTACCATGTCGACCAGGTCCTGGGCTATGATTGGCTGCAGGAATTAACACCAGTCCGGCCAAAAAGGGAGTGACTCAGTGTTTCGATCTTAAACTTAAATTCTATTTTTTTTCTCCCTTCACCATTTTGCAAGATCTGTCGACACGGGTGTTAAGTCTTCAAATTTACTTTTTGAAGTGGCCTTACTGTGGGGGAAAAAAAAAAAAAAAAAGATATGAAAGTGATGGGAGAGAAATATATATATATATATATTTAGAGAATGTGTTAAAATAGTGTTTTGGATGGCACTTCCTGGTCGTTTTGCAGATAAAGCCTGCTTGATGTGATTCTTGCCACTCTGAGGAGTAAAAACCACCTCCGTATCCCTCTGTGAGAATGTAGTTCTACGCTAGTTTGTCAACATATTGCGAATGATGGATTTTCTCTAACAATGTCCCTTTAATCCTTTCATCCCTGTTCCTCTCCTCATTTTATTTGATTCCATGATGATTGACAAACCATTATTAAAGCTTAACCTTTCTAATCTCATATCATGTTTGTGGTTTGATGTGTATTTTTGTAGCTCTGGCCTGTAGAAGGCGCTGCAGTCGTTGCAATGAATAGTTGGCCATGTCAAATGAGTTCCAGCTTGTGTAGCCATTTTGCAGTGTTAAACTTTCCACATTTAGTTGGCAAATAGCAATCCAGCTATTCTGATTGTACCTTAAAACCTCTCAGACTCACCATGTTTTTCTTTTGACTGGACAAAAACTGCTGGGCTGTTTGCTCTTATTCCAGCAGTTGAGGCCGGGTAGTGTATTAAAACTGTGGTTTTGTATATATTTCGCAGAATTTTGTGCCGTATTATTGCAGTATATATGACATATTTATATATGATAAATATATATATGACAAGTTTAGCCTTAAAAAAACAGACATTTTGCATTCATCTGAATGACACTGTAAAATGTTCCTGATGGTGTCTGTTCATACAAGCTCCTTTCATAAATATAATTAGTAATCAAAGTTTTCTTAATGAAAAAAGATTTTAGGGGGAAAAAAACAGTGATGATGCACTACTGTACATGGCTAGTTTGGAACATTGTGGCAACAGACTTCAACAGATTACGGGAGTGCTTTATTGGCGCTTTTGTGAAACAAAATCTAGCAATCACAAGCTTGCATTAATAAAAACTGTTAGTAAAGGGAAAATTATTTCATTTGTAACAGGTTCTAATTGTATAACTGTTATTCTACTTGTAGAAATTATTTCTTCATCTCCAGTATGCCACTGCCCGGTCCTCTCCGCTTTGCACTGCAGATGTTACAATACTGGATTCCTGGGAGCTGTCAGAGGACATAAAATGCAAAACTTTCATAGTACAAAAATTAAACATTTCTCTTTTTTTAAGATAAAGGGTCAAAGTTTGAATGCAGCAGGCGGATTCAAATGTGAAGTGTGTCATTTCTGTATCTCTAGCATCAATAAATGCCATTGGTTGAGTCATTACTGGTCAGAATGCTAGCAACACAACATGGATTGTGCAACTTGTCATACAAATACAAATGTCTTATAGTTGTTTCTGCATAAAAAGCAGTTTTATATATAAAGATTACAGAAGACTTACGTTCCCAGGGGACGGTAGACACTCCTTGTGGAACATGTGTCTGCAGTGAAACACCACCACACCGAATGCCTGAGCAGTGTCTTGATGGTGGAAAAATAAGAATTAAAATAACGATTGGGTGACAGCCCTTTTTTACTTGTATATTGTACACATTGTCAAAATTTACACACACATATATACACTACCGTTCAAAAGTTTGGGATCAGAAAATTTATTATGTTTTTTAAATGAGTTTCTTATGCTCATCAAGGCTGCATTTATTTGATCAAAAATACAGGAAAAAAATGTAATATTGTGAAATATTATTACGATGTAAAATAACGTTTTTCTATTTTGATATACATTAGAATCTAAGTTATTCCTGTGATGCAAAGCTGAATTTTCTGTCTCATTACTCCAGTCTTCAGTGTCACATGATCCTTCAGAAATCATTCTAATATAACAGTGTTGAAACTGTTGTGCTGCTTAATATTTATTTGGAACCTGTGAAACTTTTTTCAGGATTCTTAGAAATAGAAATCTTTTCTAACAATATACACTACCGTTCAAAAGTTTGGGGTCAGTACATTTTTATTCTTTTTTTGAAAGAAATTAAAATAAGAAGAAGTGATAGCAAATATTTATATTGTGAGAAAAGATTTATATTTTGAATAAATGCTGTACTTTTTAACTTTTTATTCATCAAAGAATCCTGAAAAAAGTATCGCAGTTTTCAAAAAAATATTTGGCAGCACAACTTTTTCACAACAATGCCAACATTGATAATTCTAATAATAAATCCGCATATCAGAATGATTTCTTAAGGATCATGTGACACTTTAGACCGGAGTAATGGCTGATGGAAATTCAGCTTTGCATCACAGAAATAAATTCTATTTTAAAGGATATTAAAATAGAAACCATTATTTTATATTGTAATAACATTTTGCAAGATTACGGGTTTTTTTTCTTCTGTATTTTTGATCAAATAAATGCAGCCTTGATAAGCATAAGATACTTCTTTAAAAAAACATTACAAGTCTTACTGATCCCAAACTTTTGAACGGTAGTGTGTATAGCTCTCTCTCTCTCTCTCTCTCTATATATATATCTATCTCTCTCTCTCTCTATATATATCTCTCTCTCTCTCTCTCTATATATATATATATATACACACACACACACACAACTTGCATTAATTTTCAAGAAATAAAATAGTTTTATACATTTTCCTATTTTTTTTTATACATTTGTATTTTTTATTTTATTTCTTTATATTTCTCCATATATTTTATGTGTGGGTGTGAGTTCATGTACACAAACTGACACATTAAAAGTAACCAAGGTGTACCTGATGGTAGAATAGGAGTGTGGCAGGATTCACAGATGTTTTCTTCTATGAGAAATGGAAGCAAGATAATTTTTGCAGCATTTCTAGTAAACAAAATAGCTGCTGCTTTGCCCTGATATTTTGTCCAAGATGACTGGAAGACAAAACATTTGTTTACCATCCACCCGCACTCCTCTCTTCTGCGTCCTGTGCATCTTCTGTAGAAGAGACAGTGAATCTGCAACAAGGATCTTCTTACAGCCCTCTCTCAGTAAGATCTACAGGACAAACATCAAGATGTTCTGAACACAAAATGATCAAGCAAATGCAGGATAAGCATCTAGTTATATCAGTACTCTAGCCAGAATGAAATGTTGGTTTAACCGGCAGTGATCACACCTGTAGATTGTAGTCCTGTAGGATCTTGACCAGCGAGTCTCTGAGGTTAGGAATCTCCATCCCTTCTTTAATGCGGTGAATGAGCAGGATGGGGTCCACATGGGTTCCGATGTTATTCAAGAGGCCTGTGATAAACGCTAGAGTGAAGAAAACAAACGAGAAATATTATTAATATTGTAAATTAATACGTTTATTAGCAGAAAGAGCTTGCTGTAGAGTCAGGTCTCGTACGTGGTTTGTCTATAGAGTAAGAGATGAGATCCTCCCAGAGTTCTCTGTCATCCTGCTCTTTAGCAAACTCAATGGCTTTGTCCACATCCGCCAGCTCCTCCATGATCATCTGCAGGGCACGTCTGCAGTTTCCCATACGACCTGACAGGAAAAAAAGCATTCATCAGAAGCACTACAGTTGAACATTTTACACACAGTGACCTCTCCTCTGATGCACTGGATCAATTACTGTAAAGAACTATACAGTTCGTTCAATATCTATGACAGAAATGCGCAGATTCATGATTCAAAACTCACTGAGCAGGAAGACCGTCTCTTCTACAAAGTGCCTCTGCTGACAGATTTCCAGAGCCTGAAAGACACAGCAACTGTTTGTGGAGCATTTGGTTTTGATAAACTTTTATACAGTATTATAAAATATATAATCGCCTTAACATCACCTCTTCATCGTTGAATTAAATGATTGTATGTATTAAATGCATTGTATTTCATTTTATCGAAATGCTTTTGAAACAAGTCTCTTATGCTCACTAGGCTGTATTTATTTGATCAAAATACAGTGAAAACTGTGTATGTAATGTATGATTAAATCAACGTAAAGAACTTGCCTAATTAATGCATTATTTTCTGTTTAATGTGACACAAATTTGATACAAACCTTCTCTAGTGGACAGTGCATGCTCTCTCTGAGGAAGGGCAGTAAGTTGGGCCGGTCAAACTCGGCATACAAACTGATCTGCCTCTCATGGTACTTCTGTCCCTTATGGTGGTCCCGCTTAAACAGCTTATGTAAATACTGAGGAGAAACAGGCAAAAAGAAGTTAAGCATTCAATGTTGACTACAGCTGGATCCCTCAGACACATCTGCATGATTTAAACAGCCCGTATTCAACATACCACATGTAACAGCTCAGGTCTGTCTTTTAATTCCTCCACCACTTTGTCCATCTGAGGGAGAGAAACACACGTGTTCATCTGTGCAGAGAGTTTGGGAGGGTTTAATCAAAAGACTGAGGCCACTGCACTGAACTCACCGATATCTTATCTTCATTATCCAGCAGCATGTCAACAGCTTTCTGAAAGGAAAAAAAAAAGAGCGATAACAAAGAGGCAGACATATCCTTTACATATCCTTCTGTGACTATTACTACTATACTGTGACATTCTTCCAAAGTCATCTATAATATATCTCATCAGCAAAAGAATCCATAACTTCCTGAATTTATGCACTTGACAAGTTTTTTGCATTAA